TGGACTTGGCCTATCTGAAGTCCCCGGACAGTCATTGCCTCTAATTGCATTGGCTAAGTGCTCCATCACCAAGATATAGAGCAAGGGGGAAAGGGGGCATCCCTGCCTGGTGCCGTTATGGATTGGAAACGGGGCCGACAAGTTTCCATTAACCTCTTGCCGTCCGCCCGTAGTAGAAAAACGGACGGACGGCACTGCTGCATTGGCGGGTTGCCGTTGCAAGACGTCCCTGGCAAAGGGGCGATGATACAATGATCCTGTCAACAAACTCAGGGAGGCCTCCAGGAATGACCAGCTGACGTGGTTGAATGCTTTCTCAGCATCAACTGAGAACAAACAAAAGGGAAGGCCGTGGGAGTGTGCATAGCGGATCAAAGTGATCGCGCGTTTGGTGTTATCCTTGGCACTGCGCCTGGGTACAAACCCCACTTGATCCTTGTGAATAGGTTTCGGGATCAGATCGGTTAAGCGATGTGCCAAGAGCTTAACATCCACATTGATCAAGGAAATGGTAAGGAAATAATTGCAGTGCATGGTATCCTTGCCAGGCTTGGGCAGAACCACCAGCGATTGGCATGTAGATGAGAGAGCATTAAAGGAGCTAAGAAGTGGGGATGGTAATATATCTTGGAAGCGTTTATAAAATCAGACAGTGAAACCGTCCGGGCCAGGGCTTTTGCCCATTGGTAGCGATTTAAGAATACTTCGGCATCCGAAAAAGGCGCGGAAAGCTCCTGAAAGGCAGAGGGTGGGAGCCTGGGGAGTGCAGTTCGTTCTAGATATTCCTGCAGATGTGCAGCCCGCGCCGCAGAGGGCATGTCCGCAGTCTCGGGTTTGATGCTGTAGAGAGTGGAGAAGGTTTCAAACTCCTTGGTAATGAGCTCTGGGCTATGGGCAAAGCCATGTTTACCGGAGTGAATTTTAGGGACAATAAGTCAAAACCGGCTGCTGGTGTACTGAGAGCGCCAGTAAGCGGCCACTTTTATCCCCTTGGGGAGGGGGTGAAAGAAAGGGGGAGGAGGCCAAGGTGTGCTGGATCAGTCCCAGGAACCTGACGCGTGCCACTGCCGACAGGCTGGGCCCTCACCCTATTAGCGATGGTCAGCAGGACAAGGATGCAGAGACACCACAAGACTGTGCATGCCAGAGTGTAGTAGTAGCCCCTCGACCACTTTTTTCCCTTTAAATGGGGTTCCTTTTAACTTTCCTACCAGACCTAAGGAGGGGTTTGGGAGGGGGACCCGACGCTGTCTTTTTTTCTTTAACCACTTGAAGACCAGTTGTTTAGACCCCCCTTCCTGGCCAGGCCATTTTTCAGTGTTCAGTGCTGCAGTACTTTGACTGACATTTATTCCGTCATGCAACGCTGTACTGAAATGAATTTTATACCATTTTTTGGGGACAGCTCTCTTTTGGTGGTATTTAATCACCACTGGGGGTTTTATTTTTTACTATATTCAGGAGAAATTACTGAACATTTTTTACATTATGTTATAAAACTACTAATATTACCCACTTTTTGGTAAAATATAAGAGACGGGGCCACGTCGGGTAAATAGACACCAAACATGTCAAGCTTTGAAATTGTGCGCACTCGCTAAAAACTAGCATACCCAAAATTGGCCATAGGCGACGCTTTACAGCTCATCAGTTTAGTGTTATCAGTGATTGATGGCCCTAGAACTATTGCTCATTCCGACGTTTGCGGTGATACGTAACATGTGTGGCGTAATGGGCGCAATAGTCATTTTCGCAGGTATGCGCACCTGACGCATGTTTACATGTGTGTATGTAGGGGTGGGGACTTTCAAAAAAAATTGTTTTTTTTAATTCTTTTTTTTACTTGTAACTAAAAAATTTGGGGGGGAAACAAAAATCTTTTTTTCACTTAACTTTATTGCTATCACAGAGGGGGCTGAGAAAGCCCTCTTTATGGAGACATCAGGGGTCTCCAAGACCCCTGTCACCTAGGACCCCCCTGATGAAGCCGAGATCTGCTTCATCAGCTTCTCTCCAGCATCTGAAGCTGGAGAGTGACACGAGAATGCGGAAGTGATGTAATATACACCACTTCCGCATTCCGACAGCGGAGAGGGGACCGGAGGGAGGTTGTGAACCGACCTCCCTCTGATCCCGTGACAAAGGCAGTATGCTGGTCCCGGGCTCACACCAGCTTGACAGTGGGGGGGGGTTCGCACGTTACGGGACCTCATACAAGCGATCCGCCGGCTCTATAGCCGGCGGATCGCTTGTATATTAACGGGCCCAGTTACATCCAATAAACACGCCCAGTTACATCCAAGAAGCTCCCGGCAGGCAGTTAAAAAAATTATTTTCTAAAACTTTCTTTTTAAAAAATGTATTTAAATAATTTAAGCATTCTTTTTCCTAAAATTTGCATTTATTTCTATTTCGCTCGCTACCTCGGAGGTAGCAAGCATTCTCGAATGAGAATATATGAGAATAGGGGCGAATGGCAGCGAGAGAACTGCCGATCCAGATGTTGGATCGGCTGAATCGAACGACTTCTGCACATCAGCTCAGCTGAATACCCAGAGCATGTATAGCCGATGTATGGCTGAAACCCCAATTTCTTCACCCTTTCCAATTATCGGTCCCTGACAGCACCAAACTTCTCTGCAAACTGTTAATTTTCTGCAATGTTGCCAGATGATTTTTTTACATCCAGGATCTGGACTTCCCAACAACTTGTTCAAAACAGTAGTTACCCTCGAACAGTTGCTCAAGGAGCAGATACATTAAGTAGATTTACATTGAATCACATCACCAAATTTGGAAGTCTGAGGACTCCAGCAAGACATTTTCCGCCATGAATTTCGGCATTATAGAGAAACTCTATATAAAAACTCTAGATGAGGACCCAGAGATGGTAAAAAAGGAGCAGAGTATAGGACTGGTAGTAATTATGAGGAAGGTGCTGTCCCTTCTGGGCCTACTAACAGCTAGTCTGTGTAACTGCACATAGAGTACTGTGCAAATGTTTTAGGTAGGTGTGGAAAAAAAAAATGCTGTAAAAGTAAGAATGCTTTCATGAATAAAAAAAGAAAAAAAAAAGTATGTTTATTTATTTTAACAACAAAATAGAAAGTAAATGAACAGAAGAGAAATCCAAATCAATTTTTGTTGTGCTCACCCTTTGCCCTCTAAACAGCATCAATTCTTCTAGGTACACTTGCAATTTTTTAAGGAACTGTGCAAATGACATTGTTACAAAACATCAGGGAACCAACTACATCTGTTGTGGATTTAGGCCGCCTCAAATTCTTCAGCATGTTGAGATTAGGGCTCTGTGGGGGCCAAACCTTCATGTAATCCTAGACCAGGGGGTCAGCAACCTTAAACACTGAAGAGCCATTTGGACCGGTTTCCCACAGAAAAGAAAACCCTTTTGACCCACCTGGGCTTAGTAACGCACGCACTGGACTCTGGGCTTAGTAACGCACTCACTGGCTTAGTAACGCACTCACTGGCTTAGTAACGCACTCACTGGCTTAGTAACGCACTCACTGGCTTAGTAACGCACTCACTGGGCTTACCCGAGACCCCACATGAGTGACCCTGCAGCGCACACCACAGATCCTGCACAGCCTGCAGGTGGGCAGCCAGCCCACCTGAGGGGCCAGGTGGGCTGGCTGCTGGGGTCCCTTTCCCTGTACCTCCTCCCAACTCCTCTTACCTGCTGCTGCCTGGCCTCCTCCACCCCCTCCCATCACTTCTGCCATGCCGCCCCTAGTACAGCTGATACTCATGTAAGAGGCCCCTCAGACCCCTCCCCGATGGCGGTGTTCTATCAAAGTTTGTGACTATGTTACAATGTGTGACAGGTGACGTGGTCACAAATTTCAATGGAATGTGTGACTGCCAATAGGTCAAGCGTTCCAGCACTTTCTCAGCTGTTCCAGGGCAGATGGCATCGCAAATCGTATGTGCCCAGGAACAGCTGTTCAGTCCTGAAAATGTCACTTCTACCCAACTGTGAGTGGGGTGGAATGTGAGATCACTCTTGTGCTTTTTGGCCCCCAAAGAAGCCCTGATCTCAACATAGAGTCTGTCTGGGATTACATGGAGAGACAGACCTTCTGTGGATGTAGGCTGCCTTAAATCCTTCTAAGATGTTTGGAACAACCTACCTGTGCAAGTGTACCTAGAACTAATGAAGAATTAATATGGTTTTGAAGGCAAAGGGTGGTCATACCCAAATATTGATTTGGATTTCTCTTCTGTTTTATTTTTTATCAATCAAAATGGAAAGTAAAGGGAACACTTCTGAAAGCATTCTTACTTTACAGCATTTTTTCCACACCTGCCATCCCCTGTACATCCCCACATCTATGACCTGCCATTGTGCAGACTCTAGGGACCCTCTGCAATCATAAGTGTCAAGGCGAGTGCCCCACGCAGAATCCAGATCTCTGAGCACATTACAAGCCAGCCCCACATTTTCCTTCTGGCAGTTTGCCAAGGCTCCACAAAGAAAAAAAATCCAGTATAGCTGCTTGAATAAGAGGATGGGCCTCTCAGAGCAGAGAGAGAAGGCATCCGCCACCTAAGGACACTAGCAAAAAAAAAAACACTATGGCAGGCTAGGACGGGGAGGGATTATACAGGGCTGTCCTTACAGCTTTGAGTTTCCAAAGTCCAATTACCTGAAGGTAGCTGCATAACCCATTGGTTCCAGACTTCTCGATTTTCTTGTAAAATAAAGCGATGCAAATAAATTTTGAATATGTAAAACTACATTTATGGAATTGTTCAAATGCAAAGTATTGCTTTTATGACGGCCACACTGTTGGGCCTCGCACTACAAAGTGTAGGTTTTACATTCAATCTTTGTCAACTATATAGTGTAAAGAACTGCATAACTGGATATTAGTGGAGATTGAAAATAATGGCTCTTTGCATTACAAATAGTGATGTTATGCTCCAGACCCACTGAATACAATTTTCACACCGAATACAATTTTCACACTGAGACCGGATACTTAAAGTTGTTTTATTTCAAAAGCTTGGACAGCTTCAAAATGTTATGGATAATTCGCACATGTAAAATACCTTACAATACATTAGAATCCAAAAAAGGTACCAAAAAGTACAGTAAAATTAACACTTCCTGAACTGGAAATGTATGACACAAAACAATACAAAATTAAAAAAAAAAAAAAAAAAGTGGAAAAAAAAATGACACTGGTTCCCTAGGATGAGTTGTTCTGTACAACTGGAGTAACAGAGTCCATACTTAACTCCAAGAGGCAGTCCCAAGATGCAGAGCTGCAGTTCTAGGCAGACCCCAATCAGTTCAGTTATTTTACGCATTGATAAAATCAGCAATTAAACTCTTGCAAAAGTGATTTAAATAATGAACATCTGAACAGATCCAGGGAATCGTACATGATCGTCTAACAAGTCAGTTTGTACTAATTTAGGTGTAATACAATATCCAGTCAGAATTCCATGTTCTCTGCAACGCTGACACTGCCACCGCATACCTGAGGTGTTCAATATGGCTTGTAGTTATTTTGATGACCACGTCTAGGGGCTTTTCCATAGCTTGCATTGCCCTGACCTAAAATTAAAAGGAAGTCAGTTAGCCCGTTAGGAATGCTTTAACCACTTCCTGTCCAGAGCAACTTTATTACACACATGATAAAAATCTGAATTGTTGCCTAGAAAACCACCTAAAACCTCCAATTATATATTTTGAAAGCAGAGGCCCTGTGAAATAAAAAAAAAGCTACTTGCAATTTATGTTATGTTAAATGATTATTAAATCAATATTTAGGAAGAAAAATACACTAAAATGAATTTTAGTGCACACAAACCAAAAACCCAATTTTGTGGTAAAATGTACAAGATGGGTCAGAGTAAATTGTTCATTAAATAACCGTACCCAAAATTTCCCATTGTCAATGTTTTAAAAGCCTTTACTGTCCGTGAGCGTTGGCCTTAGAATTATTGCTCTCACTACACATATGTAACATATGTGGGATAATCTTATTTTTTTGCATTCCAGTGCACTTGACAGTGATTGCATTTATATGTGCGCATTTCTTTAGGACTGCTAAAGAAAAAGGACTCTGCACATCAATTTCACAGCGCCGTGTAAATCACATTATATACATATTGTCCGGGGACAGTGCAGAGTGACCAGGAGATTTATTTTACCTGTGACTACAGTTGGAGGATTGTTGCGATTGCTAAAGAAATCTGTTAGATTTATTTAGCAAATTACTGGAGACAAAAATATGTAGGGCTGCAAAATCTAAAAATCGACATAACCGATTATAAATCGATTGAAAAAGTTGTCAACTTTTTCAATCATCGATTAAATCGGCTTCCGATTGGTTGGCCCTGTTCGCGGCTCCACACACTACACCTCACGCTCGCCACTGCCAGGTCCGGCCGCCTCC